TCTTACTCGTGAACTCCCTCTTGGCTGACCCCTAAAAAGTAAAAAAAAAGAAAGAAGAAAATACGAACCAGTTGTAAATTTTTTCGAAGGTAGTAGTAATAAATTAAATTTTCCCATTTGGTTTTTAGAATTTTATTGCTTCGCCATCAGTAATATTTGACTTGACATGGAGAAGCGATTCGATTAAAATATTAAAGTGTTCATTGAACTGTCTCTGCTAGCGAGAGAGATCAGGGCGAGGGGTAATGTTGTCAGGCGGGTCTGTTCGGTGACAACCCTCTACCGCTGGCACTTGGAAATGTAATGTCGACAGGGTGCATCTACGAGCATAACTCAGAGGCGGATTTTGGGGCCATTTTTGAAAGCTTGAAGTGAAAAAAAAAAAGATTCTGGCATGTCGATCACCATATCTTGTCGAGCTATTGGAATGCAAGAGCGCCTTCTATTTTATTTCAGAAAACTTAAATGGACCGAGCATTTTGGAGATGGATTCTCAGAACGTAGTAACAGCTATTATTTTGTATTTGGATCGTTCAACGTGATTCATAAATTTTATTTTTATATATATATATAATAAATTAATTTATATTTTATTACATGTTAAAAGAAGAAATTATACAAATATTCAGATTATTATTATTTGTTTTTCAAATTTTTTTTATATTATATAGTATTACAATTTAAAGTAAACTTAAAAGGTTAATATTCCAAGTTTCATATATAACACTATTTATAAGTACATCATTTATTACGTCATATGCAATATATTATTTTAATTGTACAATTAGATAATGCTGGGATCCCATTTAACTTCGTATGAATCTAATTAGCAACGTAAAATAAACCAAACGAAACGTATATTACCCATAAAAACTCCAAATACAAATAGATATAATTTTAAACATTTGCAGAAATTCACCATCAAGCTCCAACCCATGGATTAATTAAACACAGATATAAATGAATATATATATATATATATATATATAAATAGGTATGGCTACTGGGCCTGGAGAGAGTCGCTGTACCGGCCAGATTTGGAGGACAACAAGGACAGATTTGAGCCTATGGAGCCGCTGCGTGTCATGGCGGAGAGCCTGTGGTGCCGGCACCTGAAAGAGCCGGCGTGGGTTGTTGGCGAGCAGAGACAGTTGAATCTCGCCGAGGATGATTTCATGACTTTGGGAACGGCGCCGGAGCGTGGTGTGACGGGGAGAATTGGGTCCACCCTCTTCGTTTCTAACTCTGTGTTCATGTCCAGAACGCTCCCTCCTCCTGATGATTGCTTCGGCATCTTTAGCTTTCTTGGCTTGATTTCTTCCTCTCTATTCATTACTTCCATGCTTTCCTTCTTTTCTCTTCTACCTTCTCTCTGTCTTATAACGTACTGTCCGCATAAGCAAAAAAAGGTGACGACACCCTATATCGTATAATATATATATATATATATATATATATGCATGCATCTGTTTCACAACAGATATATACACATGTACGTGCTTATGTATGGTTGAGTTTTCCAAACATTCTTATAATATTATATCTGAATTTTTTATTTAACTAAGCAGCATTTAAATAAATAAATTATAATAAAAATATAAACATAAATTTTTATATATACTAATCATTTTCTTGAATAATACTAAATTTTTATGGCTTGTCATATATAAGCAGCTGTGTGTTTTGTGACCCTTAAATATTCAAATACTCTTGCATGTCAATTACGTACTGTTCATGAAAACTCTGAAATAAATATTCATAAAGGAGATTAATGAAAAAGCTAACAAGAAAAAGAAAGTTGAGTGATATACACCAACAGTGATAGACATACATAATATTCAGATAACAGATATACATATACCTGGTATGTATACGTAAATATACAAGTGATGAGAGATACAGCAGAGAAGAAGCGAGCAGTACTGTTGGTGATAAGCTGATGATGATAATGACCCAGAAAGTAAAAACAATGGGCCTGCGGAGGGAAGAAAAGTCAAGTAAAGGGGGGTATAAGTTTGGTCGGCAAGATGAAAAGATGAATTGCAGAAAAAAAAAAAAAAGAAGAAGGTAAAGAGTAATTTGTCTTGCCGAGAGGACGAGACAGAGGGGTGGTGAAATATGGAAGGACAGTATCCTACAAATTAGGGTTTTGGTATACCTTATTTGTGGCTCTAATTTCCCACTTATTTCGTTCTACTTTGAATAGGAACACACGTCTAGGCAGTTGATAACTAACTCATTAAGTATGTTTTTACCCTTAATTTTTTATTATTTTTTTTTTAATCCAAAGTAGAAATTAATTGGGAGCTTATTGATGAAACGTTTTGATTTAAATCATAATGTATAATTATTGTTTCGAATATATTTTTTACCCGTAATTTTGTTATTGAAGCGATCGAGTAAATGTAATTTTTTTCTTATTGGGTTCATAATTCTAATTTTCCATTAGATAGACAAAAAATTTATGCTTTGTACTTATAATTCGATTCTCATTATTATATATATATATATATTTTTATGAACCGATAGAAATTGGAGAATCAATGAATAAATTGTGATTAGAAATGAAATGATATTCAAATTCCGAGTTAATTGGTTCTTCCTGTTGAATTACAGCAGTTGACCAGATATCTATAAACTAGATGAGATATCTTCTATTCTTGTGCATTCAGCGGACCTAGTATTTTCGATAATTATAATACTTTTTTTATGTTCAAAAAAATAAGATTGTTTAGATCTGATGAGACAAAATCTTATTTATTTATTTTATTATTTTCAAAATTTAGAAGATATAAATATTTACTTAGTATAATATTATATAACTCTGACAAAAAATAACACACGTAATTCTCATTATTGTATATATTTTTATGAACCGATTGAAGTTGAAGAATCAATGAATAAATTGTGATTAGAGAAGAAATGATATTCAAATTCCGAGTTAGTTGGTTCTTCCCATTGAATTACAACAGTTGACTAGATATCTATAAACTAGATGAGATATCTTTTATTTTGTGCATTTAGCGGACCTAGTATTTTTGACAATTATAATACTTTTTTTATATTCAAAAAAATAAGATTATTTAGATCTGATAAGACAAAATTTTATTTATTTATTTTATTATTTTTAAAATTTAGACGAAACAAATATTTACTATATAACTCGGACAAAAATAACACACATAATTTTCATGGGTTATTTGCATTAATCTAAGTTCTTTAAATATTTGTATTTTTAAGTGTTAAATATAAACAACAACAAAAAAAAAAATTTATG